CTCTCTGGATAATATTGTCCAGAAGATCGCCAAATCCTTCCTTCAAGAGACACAACCATAACAGAGACATCATCATGGTACTTTCTTCGATCTCCTTGAGGTATATCCAACAGTTCATGAAACTCCATCCCTACAAAAAAAAACCACATGAACCAAAAAACCGAACCAAACCGATCATTTTGGATTGTTTAAAAAAACTGTACCGTACCGTTCTTGGTGGCTGCACGAGAGAGAAGCTCTGCAATGAGGTATTGAGCAGGATCACCTTCAGGAACGTTTTCGATGAACCAAGTCACGTGAGCAACAACCTCTTCGTTGCTGAAGTATTCATATAATCCATCAGAGGATAAAACCAAGAAACGATCGCTTGAAGTGAGCCTGTGATGGACAGTACATGGTTCGCAGGTTATGTATGGATCTGTTCCAATGTAGTCTACTCGGAACATCTCCAGCAAGGCCTCGTTGAAATTTGGCTGCAACAATATGAAAATGAAATGAGTCTATAGAGTGATTTTTGGTTATGAAACTTTGCAGCTTTGTCTCTACCTTTTTGAGAAATCCAGCACCGAAAGCTCGGGTGACTTTGAGTTGGCCTTTCACTCTATCTTTTACTATGGACTGCTCATCTTCCGGATGTTCGGATTTAACCCGCGAAACTTCCTGAAACAGATAAAAAGAACTTGCTTTTTCAACTACTAATCAAGTGAACTAGCCAACAAGAAAGAGGTCAGTGATTTTTTACCTCTTCCACACTTGTGCTATGGTCACTTGAGAGCTGAACGGCTCTCATTTTTAAACGATAAGAGGTTACATCTCTATTTTTGTTTGAGACACTGATTTGAGTTGTTTGATTGTGTAGTGGCGATTCCTCTGATATTCTATCCAGTTCCATACGCACAAGTGATTCTCGGGACCTACTCTTATGAATGATACCCTCATCATTCCCAAAACCGGGATTAGAGTGACGATCATGGAGCCTTTCTTGCGCTAAGACAGCCCGACTATCTCCAACGTTCATCACGTAAACATCTTGATCCTTCATTAGCATTACGAGAACACATGAACCCATTAGCGCAAGCTCCGGGTTTATGTCAAGAGACTTCTCTACCATTTCCATGTAAGCTTCTTCAGTACTTTCTAGTCCTCTAGCCATGGCTCTTAGAACAGCATCATGGTCGACAGTTCCTGACCAGCGTCTCCTAATCGGTCCTGATGACTCCACTATCTTCTCTTCAACGCAAGTGCCTTCTTCTCTGTGCCAATCATAACTCCAAGGAAACAGCTTTTTCCGCAAAGACTTTTGTTTCTGATACATTCTTCTTATCTTAGAGCTTATCTGGGATTTTTTAGTCCCATGGGGTTGTCCCGAGGTTGGAATCCCATCAAGATCACTACGGTCAGTGGCACACGGATCATTTCCAGCTCCTTCACCTGAAGTAGATGGCTTTTCGACCTGATTGGTCATATCATTTAGAGCCACATTACCTCCTTGAGAATGGTTAAGTCTGGTATATTCTTCATCCCACTGTTCCAATTGAAGTAGCTCGTAAAGTCTCATGCTTTTCTTGCCAGGACCTGCTAAATTTCCAGGTAGAACATCACCAATCTGAGTATCGGCTTTTCCAAGGCTACTGTTACAATCAGTCATCACCTCTTCACTTCCTACCAGTACTGACTTTGAATGCTGCTCGCTGATAGTTTCTGGAATACACGAATTCTCTTCGGTAGAATGACGTTCCTGGTCTGGCTGCAATGGATTATCTACAGATGGCTCATCATAATCCCAGAGAAGACCTTCCAATTCCTTGTCTATAGCTTTGTATAGATGACTCATTACGAAATCTGGAGCATCCGGTCCACTAAACCCATCATATATCCCTATATAGAGCCATCCTTGTTCCTCAGAGAGCACAACATGAACCATGTCTTCTCCAGCTTTCCCATGAGCCCATTGTAAGTTGCGGTTGCTCTCCAGACAACTTTCCTGGTCTTCACCATGTAACTTACCTTCCTTTCCAACAGGCCAGGAAACCATAGTCTCCGGATGCAAGAAGAAGCGATGCATCCACCTTAACCCTCCAGACCGTCTAGAAAATGTCCTTGCTAATGTACTTCTCATTGGTCCGCTTACACTCCTCACAAACCGCTGAAAACGAGGCTTTCTGCGTCTAAAAGATAGCGGCGCCGAGAAATTAGATTTATCAGATACATCAAGAGGTCCAGACATTACTCCTTTCTCTATAGGCCCTGACATGAAACCATTGTTTATATCCAAAGGACCAGATGCAAAACCTCTCTCTAGAGGCCCAGACATGAAACCATTCAAAGGTCCCGAACCACGACGTGGAAGTGGCTGCAAAGGAATTGATGCAAACGAGGAAGTGCTCTCAAATGAAGCAGCAGGCTCCAACACTTCACTTGAACAAAATGCCATCTGATTCCCAGTCCTAGCCGTGGAAACATTGGCGCTAACCGAAGCACCTGAGATTGCCTTAAACGTAGTTTCCCCCAAACCTTTACTGTTATGTCTATTCAAGAAAGAGGGATCATCAACGACCTCGTTTCGAAAAGACCCACTAAGTGTCTCAGAATCAAGTGTGCTTGAATCAATCGTGAACCTCTCCGAGTTAGAAGGAGTATTCTCCAGTGACTCGAAGATACTTGGCCTAACGTAGCAGAAGGAATGGCCTAATCCTTCATCTAAAGGTTCCAAACACTCCAAATCAACGCCGTTTTTATCACTTGACGGCACGAAACAACCGATAACACGGGAAGTTTTGTTTCCCATCACTCAGGCAATACTACAAACACCTTCTATGCACAATCCCATGACAAACCTCTAAAGAGTTTCCGCAATTTCCAACACCACAAAAAGACTTTACCAACACAAGAGCAAGAGGCGAAATACAATAAATTCTTATAAACCCTACAAAGATCCGACGAGTTTTGCAAAATCCAAGCATCATCAGAGTTTCAATCTCTGAACATTGAAACCATAAACAAGCACCTGAAAAGGGAAAACAAAACAAAAATCAGCCTTTACTTTAAAGCTCGTAAATGGCTTAAACAGATCAAAATTTCCAGTGATCTAACCCTTGTTCAAAGGTTGAATCTGGAAACAGATCTAAAAGAGCGGCAAAGAGAGACAGTGTATTGAACACATCGGAAGCAAAATAGAAACAGTAAGGTGAGGAAAAAAAAAACACACACACACCTTTAGATTTCTATGAGAATCTGACAAAAAGTAGCCATTTTAAAAAAAATAAAAATAAAAAGGAAGAAGACCCAGATTGAGATTGAACCATGCAGAGACGACCAGCTGTTAAAGATCCAATTTTTTCAGGGAAAAAAAACAAAACAAAAAAGCTAAAACCCAGAACGGTTGTTTTAAAGACCCTTGTTTCAGATGTTACGGAGAAACCAAGATTCAAAAAATCGGACAACACTAGAAACGCAAGACCA